AATACCAACATGGGCCAGTGAAGCAACATCCTCCACAACTAGACTGAAGAACAAAAGGACAGCAACTTGTCTGTTCCCCTTCCCCAATTCCCCAGCACTTTTCCCCTCCCTCAATTTCCCAATAAAATCTTTAAAAAAAAAAAGATTAATAAAAATGGGGAAAAGGACTTCTAATCTTTTTTTCATGATATCTTTTATCTGACATATCTTACAGAAGGAAGAAATACATTGCTCACTTTTTATCTGACATATCTTACAGAAGGAAGAAATAAATTGCTCACTTTTTATTTAATATACCACTCCTTTCCCTTAGGGTTAATGCTTTGCTATGGATTGAATTGTGACCTCCAAAAAGATGTGTTGAAATCTCACTTCCCAGTACCTCAAAATGTGACCTCATTTGGAAATAGGGTTGCTGCAGATGTAATTTGTTAAGATGAGGTGGAATAGGGTGGGCCCTTATTACAATATGACTGATATTTTTATAAAAAGAAGCCAAATTAGAGACAGAAACACACAGAAGCCCTAGGAAGCTAATACAGCTTTTCATACCATGTTCAAGAAGTCTTTTTTTACTGACACCATATAAATATTACCATATATATCTTTTCTAACAGCTTTAAAGTGTGGCCTTTCATAGTTGGGTAATGTTATTCAACTGTAATTTAATTCATGTGTGATGTAAGATAGGGATGTAATTTTAGTTTTCACCATATCAGCAGCCAGTTGTCCAACATTGTTCATTGGACAGTCCACTTTTTCCCCCACTGATTTTAATAACCTCTTTATCATACACCAAGCTCCCATGGATCTGTTTCTATGCTCACTTTTGTTTCTTCCTATTGGTCTAGTTGTCCATCCTTGCACCAATACCACCCATTTTCTTTTTTTTAAATTCTAGTGTAATACACACAACATAAAATTTACCACCATAACCATTTTTGAATGTACAATTTCGTGGCATTAAGTACATTTACATGGTGCGCAGCCATCACCACTATCCAACTCCAGAGCCTTTTCATCTTCCCAAACTAAAACTGCGTACCCAGTGAAAAATAGCTCCTAATTTTCCCTTCCCAAAGCACCATTACTTTGTTTCTCTGTAGATTTGTCTATTTTAGGTATCTAATTTAAATAGAATTATACAATATTTATTCTTTTATGTCTGGCACATTTCACTTAGCATAATGTATTCAAGGTTCATCCATGTTGAGCTAATCATCAGAATTCCATTTCTTTTTAAGGCTGAATAATATTCCATTGTATGCATATACCTTGCTTTGTTTATCAGTTCATCTGTCAATCATACCATCTGGCTTTAATGGTCACTACAAATCCTGATGTCCAATATGTATGTTCCGTTTCCTTAGTCCTTGGTTTCAAAATAATGTGGACTATTTTCAGCCCTTACTTTTCACTGAATATTGAATGTCAACTATTGTGTGTGTGTGTGTGTGTGTGTGTGTGTGTGTGTGTGTGTGTGTGTATACAGTAAAACCTTGGATTGTGAGTAACTTGGTTTGCAAGTGTTCCGCAAGATGAGCAAACATTTCTGTTAGGTTGGTGCAAAAACCACTGTTACTTTTGCAACAACCTAATAATACATTTTAACGTGGTAAACGAGTGATGTCTTGCAATACACGTAGTTTGTTTTTGAAACAAATTATGCTCACAAACCGAGGTCTTACCATATATATATACATATATATATGTATATATATATATATATTCACAGCATGTAAAGTACAGCATAAGGAATATAGTCAGTGGTATTATAATAGCTATGTATGGTATCAGATGGGCAGTAGACTTGTTTGGATTATCACTTTTTGAGGTGTGTAAATAGCTAATCATTATGTTGTTTTGTATACCTGAAACTAATAATAATAAAGATTGCCTCCTTGGTATTAAAAGGTGGGGGTCTCTCACTAGAGTTTCTACAGACCAGAAAATCCCTGCTCATAGCTGTGGGAGTGGTGCTGCCCACAAACCAGGGGGCAGTGCCACCCAAAGCTGTGGGCGCCAGAACCCTGCTGCAGAGCCATGGGGCATGGGTACCTTCATCTAGATATCAAAAGATGGAGCCTCCCAGAACTGTGGGCATGCAACCAGACAGAAGACCACAGAGAGAGTGAGGTTATTACAGAGAGCACCAACTAGGAAAATGCTCAGTGGAGCCATGAGGTCATGGCTTCCCCCATGACTCCAGACCAGTAGAGCCACTGGTACGCGATTCCTGGTCAGGGGAGCTGCAGGCACGCAAATCCAACCCATGAGAGCTGTTGTCTGGACTGACCCCAGCAAAGCCATGGGGGGGGGGGCAGGTGCCCCATTGTGGCCAGAAGGTGGAACGCTAACTCCAGTGAGCCTGGCAGGCAGGATCTCCAGTTAAATATTATTCTCAAGCCTTAAGAATTGATGTTTGTCCTATTGGGTTTGGGCTTGCTGGGAACCTGTTGCACATTTTTTCTTATTTCTCCCTTTTGGAATGGGAGGATTTACCCTATGCCTGACCCACCATTTATTTTAGAAGTACATACTTTGTTTGATTTCACAGATTCACAGGTGAAGAGAGCAATTTGCCTCAGAATGAATGGTAGCTTGAGTCTCACCCATGTTTGATTTAGATATTTACATGAGACTTTGGACTTGAGACTTTTGACCTGATGCTGGGACAAGTTGAGCTTTTGAAGACTATTGGAATAAATGAATGTATTTTGCATGCAAGAAGGAAATGAATTTGAGGGGAGGGGAATAATACTATGGTTTGAATATTTGTGTCCCCCCCAAAATTTATATATTGAAATCCTAATGCCCTATGTGATAGTATTAGGAGGTGGGGCCTTTGGGGAGTGATTAGG